ATAAGATCCCATGGTCTGCCCTGAAGACCCTGATGGCCCAGTCCATCTATGGTGGCCGCGTGGACAATGAGTTTGATCAACGTTTACTTAATACCTTCCTGGAGCGTCTGTTCACAACCCGGAGTTTCGATAGTGAATTCAAGCTGGCCTGCAAGGTTGATGGGCACAAGGATATCCAGATGCCTGACGGCATCAGGTATGGCTGCCTGTGGGGACAGAAGTCGTGGCGGAGGGAGCATTTGGAGCCAGTTTGCCCAACTCTGATTCCAAATGTCCTGCTTTCTCAGGCGAGAGGAGTTCGTGCAGTGGGTGGAGCTGCTGCCTGATGCCCAGACGCCCTCATGGCTAGGCCTGCCCAACAATGCCGAGAGGGTCCTGCTTACCACCCAAGGTGGGCCGTGAGTCTCTTCACTCCTCTAGCGCCTGCTGAGTAGGGCTTCTTCACCTCTGGAAAGGTGGCTTTAGTTCCAGGTTGGAAGCACTGATAGGGGCTTGGTTGGTAGATAAACAGACCTGTGCCTTAGCCTTGGGCAAAGGCAGAAAAACCAGAGTTCAACGTCTGGTCTACGTAGCATGCCCTAGGCTCAGGCTACATGAGACCATGCCTTAGACAACAAAACATACCCTGTATAAAGTCAGTTTTTGTTTTGTTTTTCACAACATTGCGAGTAGAATCCAGAGCCTAACACAACTTAGCAGCTCTGTGAGTGAACCGCAGACCCTCCCCTTCAACGCTGTCCTAAAACAGCCATTAGAGCCTGGCTTCCTAGCACCCATATGATAGAGGCAACAGGGTCAAGAGTTCTTGGCTAACCTAGGCTGGCCAACCTAGGCTACATAAAACATCTTTAAAAACATCAGGTAAGGAGCCAGGCAGTGGTGGTGCAAGCCTTTAATCCCAACACGGAGAAGCAGAAGCAGATGAATCTCTTGAGTTCAAGGTCAGCCTGGACTACAGAGCAAGAACAGACAAACCCCACCTCAAAACACATACAAAAGACTTTCCCCCTGAACTACTGAGAAGTAACTTCAGCCAGAAGAGAGCCAAGAAAATAAAACTGGACATACATTCAAAGTGCCATCTAGTCAGTGATTCTAAAGCAAGACTCTCCAGATCAGTAGCAACAGTGTAGAACTTTCTGGGAGTGACAGGTTTGAGAGGTGCTTGCCTAACCTGATTTCTAGGAGAAGGCTGAGAAGAGGTGGGGGCTGGTACAGACGTTCCAAAGTAGATGAGGTGGGCCGGATGGCTCCCAGCTGCCTTGCCCTTCTGCAGAGAACATTCTCTGGGAGCTTGCCTATTTCTGAGGTGCTTCACGTGTCGGAAGTGCTTGTGGGAGGAGGCCACCTTTGTGAGAAGCCGGGGACTATTGTACTGGAGAGTGGGTAGTGAACAGCTGTTCTGTGGGTTTAGTTTGAAAATGAGTATTTGAGACCTGGAAGCTAAGCAGGTTAGGTACAGCCTCTCCAGTATATAAGCCATCTGTCATTGTATGGGTCTCAGAAAATTGCTGGGGCAAATGAGACCAGGAGTAGTAACTCCTGTGTCCCATCAGCACTGTCAGGAACCTGGTGCTCCAGGGTCACTGCCCAGCTTCTCAGCCTTCCCAGTCCAGAAAGCAGGGAAGCTCAGCAATTTGACCTTCAGTCTCCATGGGAGAGGGCCAGGCCAGGCACTACTGTGCCTTCAGTCACAACTGGATGTGGGCAGAGTTCACGGGAATCCCAGCTGCCATCCCAAAGATCCCCATGGCAGACTGAATGCATGGCTTCTGAGACCCAAAGCTGTATGAACATACTGCAACATCATGGGGCATGCCCGGACACTGGGTCTGTCTTATTAGTCTAACGTGGCCTGTTTTCTTCTGTGTTTACCTCTTCTCTGGGCTTGGTCTGCACTAGATCATGTGTGCAGAGTCCAGTAGGCTGCTGTAGTGACTTACTGGTGATGTACCACTGCTTCTTGACATTGAACTCTTCCTCCTTGCCTGCCTCCCGCCCATGGCTGGCCTAGGTGTGGACATGATCAGTAAGATGCTGAAGATGCAAATGCTGGAGGATGAGGATGACCTGGCCTATGCAGAGACAGAGAAGAAGACAAGGACGGATTCCACATCTGATGGGCGCCCTGCCTGGATGAGGACACTGCACACCACAGCGTCTAACTGGTTGCACCTCATCCCACAGACACTGAGCCCACTTAAGCGCACTGTGGAGAACATCAAGGTAGCTGGGCTAGAGCCTTCGCATTGTCTTAAGAGTCGGTGTGCTAATCCAACCTTGAGCAAAAGGAAAGGCCACTTTTAATTGAACTGTTTCAGAACTGTCCATGATCTGAGAGTTGGGGCAGAGGTCATTCTTTATATTGGGAGCTGATGGCAAGGCTGGGGCGTAGGATAGATCTGAGGCTCTCTTAAGGTTGACTTGCTTCTGTAGACAGATTTTCCTCTTCTCTTTGGTTTTAGGATCCTTTGTTTCGGTTCTTTGAGAGAGAAGTGAAAATGGGAGCCAAGTTACTCCAAGATGTACGCCAGGACCTTGCTGACGTGGTCCAAGTGTGCGAGGGGAAGAAGAAGCAGACCAACTACCTGCGCACACTCATCAACGAGCTGGTGAAAGGTGCTGAGGTGCAGGGTTTGCCGGTCAGCTGTCCACTCCCATGAATAGGCACCCTGCAGCCCTAAGCCTTGCCTGCATCTTTTCTGGCTTCCTCAGGGCGGCTCAGGAGCAGGGGAGGGTCAGAGAAACCCACCCTGCTTTTCCCTGGGCTTCCCTGAAGTTTTTGCGCAGCTTCTATGACTTTGCAGGGTGATGCAGTGAAGGGACACAAAACAAGCAGGAGCAGGGCAGTGTCCCCAGTCCAGAGACAGAGTGCACTTGCATGCAGTGCTGGGCCGCCAAGCGTGCACCCCACGCTACTCTGACAAGCATGCTCTGGGCCTACTGGGTGTGGATAGGGTACCAGGTGCGGCCAGGAAGTAGAGCTGTGCTATGCAGGTGTTGGCAGCCTGAGCCACTTCAGCTGCTGGGGAGTTGGCAGAGCTGATGCCAACACCTGGGTCTTGGTTCCTTGTTGCAGGGATCTTGCCTAGGAGCTGGTCCCATTACACGGTGCCTGCAGGCATGACGGTTATCCAGTGGGTGTCGGACTTCAGTGAGAGGATCAAACAGCTACAGAATATCTCACAGGCGGCCGCATCTGGTGGTGCCAAGGAACTGAAGGTAGGCAAGCATGGCCCTGAAAAGTCAGGGTAGCGCCTGTTGAGCTGGACTTGGGTAGAAAAGTGCCCTTTAGGATGGCATTGGGGACAGCCCAGGTCTGTGCCTGACCTGCTCTCTTTCCCCGGGGCTCTGTTCTACAGAATATCCACGTGTGCTTGGGTGGCCTGTTTGTGCCTGAGGCCTACATCACTGCCACCAGACAGTATGTGGCACAAGCCAACAGCTGGTCCCTGGAGGAACTCTGCCTGGAAGTCAATGTCACTGCCTCACAGAGTGCCACCCTGGATGCCTGCAGCTTTGGGGTCACAGGTAAGCTAGTGTCTGGGTGCCCAGACAGCCATTCAATGTGACCTGATTGTAGTGCAAGTGGCCAGGCAGAGCCCCACTAAGCCTGTGGGTGCCCTGTAAGCAGGGCTGGGTGGCTGGGGCCGCTTCAGCCCAGGTCTCCATGTCTTTTCACAGGACTGAAACTTCAAGGAGCCACATGCAACAACAACAAATTGTCACTCTCCAATGCCATCTCCACAGTCCTCCCGCTAACACAGCTACGCTGGGTGAAGCAAACAAATGCCGAGAAGAAGGCCAGCGTGGTGAGTGCCATCTCCCTCCCTGCCTGACAACTTCACCCAGCCTGAACCCCACGGGAGCAGGACTTCCTGTCTCCAGAGTGAGTCACAGCACCCCCCCCATCTGTCCTACAGGTAACCTTGCCTGTCTACCTGAACTTCACGCGGGCAGACCTTATCTTTACCGTGGACTTTGAAATTGCTACAAAGGAAGACCCACGCAGCTTCTACGAGCGTGGAGTTGCAGTTCTGTGCACTGAGTAGAGCTAGACTTTTCTTGGATCCCTTCTGGAATAGTAACATTCAATATCTAACATTCATTAATCCTTAAGCGTTGGGAAGTTGGATGGACTGGTGAGAAGAAAGTGTTTGGTCTGCGCTGGAGGAAGTGAAAGCTGCTGCCGAGGTGGGGACAGGGCTGGGAAGATGCACATGTGTCTGTGTGTGTGTGTGTGGACGGCTATGGAACGGCTTGTTTTATTATAAAACACTACGCATGGCAGCCTCCCACCTCTTGTGGTCGCTCCGTCTGCTGTGAGAATCTTTGCGTCTCCCCCCATGGTACAGCTCTTGACAGCTGCACCCCAGCCCACCTCACCTTTGTCACCATGGTCACAGACACTGAAGCAGCCAGGCGAGGCTAGAACTGCACTTCATCCCGAGCCTGCCTACAACTGTGTTCTTGACTGAAACTTGGCTGTCTGACACCTCCATCCCCCAGGCACCTTTCCTGTCCTAAACACAGTCCTGCCCCCAATTCCCTTCTCCCACACTTCATGTCCATACCGCGCCAGCGTGGTGAGAGAGTGGCCTTGGCCTCACAGTAAGGGTGGCAGTTAACCTGGTTCTTGAATCTGGGTTTCCACAGTGGGTGTGGCACTTGTTAGCTGTAAGGACTCCTTAACAGAGAGACACTGTCCTAACCCCCAAGGGCTCTGGGAGCAGACACAGCAAGCTCATGAACAGGAGGAAGTGGCCAACTCTCACTATAAACAAAAGCTGCCAACATTATCTCCCTGAGGAACAGGAACATGGAGGTAACTCTGCCCTGCAGAGCCCACAGGAACCACTGTGGCTTTTCCTTGCTGTCTGTCCTCCAAGGATGTTGCCCGAGTCTGGGGGAGTTCTGGGAACACTAGTTTCACCCCAGCCCCAAAATTGTACTTCTGGTTCTGGGAGCACCTCCTCCCCAGGGAGCACTCCTACCTGCTCCCTCCTATAGTCAGAAGAGTCAGTTCTGCTAGACAGTCACCATCCACCCTGTTTTCCTCTCTGGCAGAGCCAACCTGGGCACTGATGAGCAAGACCCGACCCCTAACCAGTGCTGGAATGGCCCCAAGGTGGACCTTGCTCTGCCAAGATTGGGCACCTCCTTGTAGCACCTTTTTTATTTGTCCTTGGGAACCTTGTGGTCCTTGTCCATGCCATGGGGATGACACTAGATTGGAGAGGAGATGGGACCTGGACTTCTGGCGTCTGCACCAGACTCTTGCTCAGCTCTCACTACCTACAGGAAAGAAAATTCCAATGAACAAAGTGGCAAAAGTGGAGCAGGAAGAAACATGCCACCCACAGTGAGCACAGCATTCTCGTAGGCTGAGTCTGAGCTGACTATAAGAGACCCTGCGCCCAGGTGGCACAGAGGGCTTGATCAGTTAGATTTCTGAACATTCTAGGAATGGGGAGGGATCTGCCCTGCCCCTGCCTCAGCCAGCAAGCCAGCCCTCGGGAGACTAAGGCAGGAAGGTTGCTGGGGCTATGTCACAAGATCCTGGGGTCACCAGGCAGTGGTGGCACAACTCTCGGGAGGCAGAGGCAGGCGGATCTCTGTGAGTTCGAGGCCAGCCTGGTCTACAAGAATAGTTCCAGGACAGGCACCAAAAGCTACAGAGAAACCCTGTCTCGAAAATCATATAAATAAATAAATGAGAAGAATAAAAATAAATAAATGAATAGACAAGGTCCTGGGGCCTGGGAGGCCCAGGGAAGGCCACTGGGACTGTCCCTGAATTGTAACCTATTTAACTGTTTTTCACATTGTGTGCGCACACGTGCACAAGCACGCCACTCTGTGTTCCTGTGTGGTGGTCAGAGAACAGTGTGTCGAAGATGGTTTTCCCCTTCCACCATGTGGATCCTAGGGATCAAACTCTGGTTATCAAGCTTGGCAGCAAGCACCCTGACCCTCTGAGCTGTCTCCCCAGCTTGGTAGAGACCTGTTTACCACTCTTTGCTATTGGTCTTGAGTGTGTCCCTGATTCTGCGCTAACCCAGCCCCTGGGCGAGGAGGCATACTTCTTCCTCTTAGTTCTCTCGGGCTCTGAAAGGAAAAGCTCCAGCTTCCTCTTAGAAAGAGGCAGCCTAGGCCCCTTGTCTCTCTCACTCCCAAGTCTGGGAGGTGGCCGTGACGCTCTGGCTCTGCTCGGCAGGTGTCTGCTCATCTCTGGGGTCTCCACAGGAATGAGGGGGTTGGCAACCCTTGTCATTCTCCAGTCCTCTGGTGATGGAGACAGCCTGGCAGGCCACCCGTTGGCCTCCTGGGGGTCAAGTGCCTTCAGTTCACCCTCAGGCTGCATGTCGACATCATTGGCCTCCAGGGCAATGGGGGCCCAGCCAGACGCTTTCAGAGTGAGATCTGGAGCCTTTGGCAGGAGCAAATCTTCCACTCGGGTCTCCTCAGCAACCTTGAACTTCAATGTGTAGGAAGGTGTGTTGCGGTTCCTGTCACCCAGGAGGCGGTAGGCACGCTGGCGGTAGTTGCGGTAGGTGGAATGACCCGGAGTGTCTTCTGAGTCGCCATCATAAGGATCTGAAAACTAATGACAAGGTTTTGAGGGCTTGGCTATGTGAGGACCTGAGACTCAGTTCCCGTCACCACAGACTGAAAAGTTTCTGAACCAGTGGATAGTCCCGGCACAGGCTGGTGTGCCACACAGATGCAGAAAAGACCGCTGTGGTGACAATTGCATATGATTTGCTGTGCTTGGATTTTTTTTTTTGGGGGGGGGGGTGTTTCGAGACAGGGTGTCTCTGTAACAGACCAGGCTGGCCTCGAACTCACAGAGATCAGCCTGCCTCTGCCTCCCAAGTGCCGGGATTAAAGGCGTGCACCACCACCATCCAGCTTTTGGAACTCATAGCAAAGATTGGCCTGAAACTAACCATGTAGTCAGATGACCTCTTGCCTTCATCTCCCCATCGAGAGATCTTTCTGGGGATCAAACCCAGAGCCTCGTAAATGCTAGGCAAGCACTCTGCTGATCTACATCCCCAGATGGTGTGGCGGGGGGGGGGGGGGGGGGGCGATATTTGGT